TTTGGTTGGGTTTACGGCAATGTCATGATAAGAGGCTGGTTAAAGGATTCCATTCCAACAGATTTCCGCAAGGTAAAATCTAGCCTGTCTGTTCACTTTCTCCCCCAAATTTGTAGGCTTGCTACCCTCCCTCATGACCTGGCAAAGTTTAGAAACCTTAACTTTCTTTAAGGAAAACTGGCTCCTTTCCTCCTCGGAAGCATGGCAGACAGTGCCAAACTGATCAGTCTATTTAACATGACATTGGGCTGCAATTCTTTCATGTCATCTAAAGAAAAACGTTAAGCTCCTACCCTGTCCCATCAGGCCACCAAAGGGTTCTAAAACCTCATTTATGATGTCATTTTAAGTATTCCCTCCTTCAGCAATGACAATAAAAGTTAACTATTAAACTCATGTTTTCAACTTCCCACCATGGGTTCCCTGCAACACAAAACCAGCAAATTAAATCACTGAGATACTAGGATACTTAATGAAATAAAAGCGAATTCCTCATAAATGGCCCTAACTGTAGAACATCTGGCCTGCCCAGCTGCATTTTCTCTACATCAGTCGAGGATGTAACAAAGATAACTGATCCTTAGTCTTTCCAAATAACAAAAGCCCAGTTATTCTGAGGGCAGCTAAACCGAGTGGGATAAGATGGACACTTCAGCTCCGTCACAGAGTCTGCGATGACTCATTACAGGACCTCAGAGTTGTCACTGCTAGTGAATTCCTCCTTCTTTCGTCCCTGCTGCTGCTTTTTCTTTAAAGTAATGGAATCACGAAAAAAAAAGCTGGGATTGAAAATAGATTAATCGACTCTTTTTTTTTTTGGATCACAAAATCAAATCTTAGCTTGCTGCTGGGACTTTGGGCTCCCTCATTCATTCATTGTTCATTCATTCAACAAATATATATTTCGTGTCTAATTTGTACCAAGTCCTGGGAGTACAGAAGTGAAAAAAAGGAGTCATAGTCACTGCCTGCATGGTACTTACATTCTAGTGGGTAAGAGTCAATACAGAAGTAAACTGCCAGGTAAAGGTGCAATTTCAAATGGTCAAAGTGTTATGTGTAAAAATATTAGTGTGCTATTAAAAAGTATAAAGTGGGGACCCATCTTAGTTGGTGGTCAGAGAATGCCTCTCTGATGAGGTGACATTTATCTGAGACCTGAAGTTTTACAAGGAGCCAGCTACATAGAGGTTGGGGAGGGAAAAAGAACTTTCTATGCGATGGGGAAAAGCACGTGCGCAGGCCTCAGGCAGCAAAGAGCTTGAAGTAGTGGGAACTGACAAATGTATATATAATAAGTAAGGAAGACAGTGGCAGGAGAGGAAGTTGCAGAGCTAGGCAGAGGCTAGATTATGCAGCAACATAAGAAGGAACTGATTCATTTGCTGCCCCTGGTCAGTTCTGTCAATCAGATTTTGACCACGGAACTATTGGTAAAGTGTAACTCAAACAGGTGAGGTTTCCAGCTTCAATAGGTGGTCTCTTTAAACACAGCTGTCTTAAGGATAGATGATAACCAATGACGGAGGTTGCAGTGAGCCAAGATCGCGCCCCTGGCACTCTAGCCGATGTGACAGAGTGAGACTCTGTCTCAAAAAAAAAAAAAAAGATAGCCAATGGCATACCTAGAGATATAGGTAAATATCAATATATAGTCTTCTTTCCCTGTCTCAGTCATGAAGATTACAGGAAATGCTTGTTTAATAGCAAATACTGTTAAGCAACATTGTCCAAATAGAAATTTCTGTGATGAGATGGAAATTATTTCTATCTTAGCTATCCAAAACAGTAGCCATTAGCCACCTGTGGCTACTAAGCACTTCAAATGTGGCTAGTGGAACTAAGAAACTGAATTTTTAATCATATTTAGTTTTAATTCATTTAAATTTCAATAGCCACGAGTGGCTATAGGATAGGGCAGAGCAGCTCTAGAATCTTGACACACTTAAATGAGCTTACAAACAAAAGGCATAGGTTAGCTTAAAACTTGAGCAACATCTGTGATGGTTCACAGAATCCTCCTAAGGAAAAGGTTAAAACTGTGGTCCCCAACCTTTTTGGCACCAGGGACCGGTTTTGTGGAAGACAATTTTTCTATGGACTAGGGAAGTGGTGGGGGCGATGGTTTCAGGATGAAACTGTTCCACCTCAGATCACCAGGCATTAGACTCTCATAAGGAGCGTGCAACCTAGATCCCTTGCATGTGCAGTTCAGAGGGTCCACACTCCTATGACAATCGAATGCTGCTTCTGATCTGATAGGAGGCAGAGCTCAGGCAGTAACGCTTGCTTGCCTACCACTCACCTCTTGTGCGGCCCAGCTCCTAACAGGCCATGGACCGGTACTGGCCCTGGGGTTGGTGACCCCTGGGTTAAAGGATTCAGTCCAAGATCTGAAAAAAAGGGTACAGCCAGGTAGCTTGGGAAGCACTCTAAATTTTCACAAGTCTGTAGCAGAATCTCAAAGCTTCTGGGTTTCTTGTTGTTGTTGTTGCTTTTGAAACAGGGTCTCACTCTGTTGCCCAGCCTGGAGTGTAGTGGTGTGAGCACAGCTCACTGCAGCCTCTACCTCCCAAGCTTAAGGGAACCTACCACCTCAGCTTCCCAAATAGCTGAAACTACAAGCGCACACCACCACATCCAGCTTTTGTATTTTCTGTAGAAACAGGGTTTTACCATGTTGCCCAGGCTGATCTCAAACTCCTGGGCTCAAGAAATCAGCTCACCTCAGGCTCCCAAAGTGCTGGGATTATAGGCATGAGACACTGCGCCTGGCCAACTTGGATTTTTAATGGCTCTTAACATACAGGATGTGTGACACGAGGCAGTATGTTATAGAGCCTTGTTACTCAAAGTGTGGTTCACCGACCAACCACATTCATCATTTAGAAGTCTGATATAAAGGCCTCACTCCCAACCTACTGAATCAGAATCTGCATTTTTAACAAGATCTCCAATGATTCAAATACACATTCAAGTGTAAGAAACACTGCTATGGAAAGGGTTTGGGGTTGGGCAGACCCACATTCAAATCCCAACTCTGCCACTTACCTGAGCAAGTCATTTAACCTCTTGGGCCTCAATTTTCTCACCTGAAAAAGGAGGTAATACTACCTACATCAAAAGGTTGTTGTGAAGACTGGGTCAATGTATAAAAGGAAATGAGCATGAGATCTGGTTTATGTTAGATGATCATTAATTCATTTATTTGACAAATCATTACTGACTGTCTATTATATTCCGAGCACCCTTCCTGTCCTGTGCTTAAAACCTGTTCCAAAACAAAGCAACCTTGGGGAAGAAGAGTGTTTTGTTGGGGATGGGAGGGGAAGAAAATGTTCCCCTGTGGCAGTTTCAATACTGTAAGGTGACCAACAACTGCTTCTCTTGGGATCTTTACAGGATTCTCAAATATCAGGGGCTTCCACCGCTATCCTCAGACCTTTAAATAAATAGAAATGTGAGGAGGGGAGGGGAGAATAAGAGAAAAATATAGGAATTGAACAAATAGGGAAGATTTGCTATTGTTTTACCGACAAATAAAAAGCATTAGACTTGTCTTAAAAACTAAGCACAAACTGTAAGCTGCACAGATTTTCTTTTATTAGCTTCCTTAAAAAAGAAGCAGCAGCAATTCTCACTGGAGGTCTCACTGGTAGGAAAGGGAATTCAAGGGGTGTTCTTTTCTGCTCCCCAGGCAAAAAGGGTTTCTCACCCAAGCCAGTAGGTGTTAATCTGCTTAAGCCTGCCTGAGTGGATGTGTTAGATTGCTGGCACATGGCCATTTAGGGGTTTTGTTCCCCAGACCACAGGAGCCCATTTTTCCAAGAGTTCCACTAGCTTTTTGTTTGATAACGTCTATTTCTAGCAGCATTTACTCCTTCAACAACAAATTCAATGGAATGAAAATTTACTGAACACCTACTATTTGGCACACCCTCTGTTGGGGATACAGAGATGAATAAGGAACAGTTGCTGTGCTCCAGGGGCTCACACAAAAGTAACTTCTGTTGCATTCTCTCAGGTGATGGCTATTATCATGACTTCTTCCCACTGCTTGGAAAAAAAAATTCTTTGGTTTCCTTGGCTGTCCCATTTAAATATCCACTGACCTCGCTGTGCTCCCCTGAGGTCCCAGAGGCTTTAAGGGTTAATTACTCGCTTGTTGGGGCTGGTTCATTGTTCTCCCAAACTGCCCACCCTCTCCGATTCCATTTCCAATTCTAAACTTTGTTTAATGTATTCATATTTTTCTTTTTACAGAGGCAATACACATTCATTACAGAAAAATACAGATAAGTAAAATAAGGGAGAACATTTTAAAACTCTCCTCAATCCCACCACTAATGATAATCCATTTTAATAAACATGACTTTTTAAAAACTATAACAGTAATATAATTTCACATGAAGTTCAAAACATAGAGGAGGGCAATTATGCATAATCCAGTCATCTAAATCGTGATCATTTTGGGGATCTTCCCTTCCCATTTTCTTGTACTTATAAATCAAGCCTGACAAATCATTATCAAGCCTTACAAATCAAGCCTGCTAAAGTCATTATCTTTTGGGGGAAGAATATGGAGTAGATGTGCAAAGCAGGAAGGGGTACTTTCAGCTGTGCTGGTGAGTAAGGACACTAGTAATTTTATAGAAAAACATGTTAGGAAATTTGCTGTAATTGGCCAAATTACCGTTGCTATTCAAATGTTTCATCACTGGTAATAGAATCTCACCCAAGAAACTTGCCTTTCTTCCTTGGGGTCTGAAATGAGATATACAGAAATATCTATTTTAAGAAGTTTTCATGTAAGAATACCTGAATTCGTAATGAAGAGTGCTTGAATACCATTAAAAGCCTACAACATGCCAAGATCTCTGACATATATTATCTCAGTTAACTCTCACAACAGTCCTGCAAGATAGATATGATTACTCCTGTTTTAAAGATGATGAAACAGAAGCTCATAAAGTTTAACAGGCTTGCCCAATATCTTACAGCTAGCACCTGGCAGAACCAGAACCCAGAGCAAAGAGACATGACAGTAGAGAGTAGAAAGTGTGTGGCAGAAAGTGTCTGGGTTCGGAGCCCGACTGAACCACCCACCCACTCCAGGACCTTGGGCAAGTTATTTAACATTCTAAGTTTCCTTGAACTGGACTTTTGTGTGATGCCATTAGCCTGCAGTTAGTGTTGACAAAAGGAACCATCCTTAGAATTAAGATGAAGTCCATTGTAAGGGTGTTGAGGACATTGTTGAACAGTTCATAGTTAAAGATATTTCTGTTTGCTCTGAATATGGAGGACAGTATACTCCCGAGCAATCGTCAATCTTAGTGCTCCTAACTATTCAGGTTTCCAGGAGCACTGGCTCCTGGAAAACTCGTATCTAAGTTTAAAATTCACATATAGGAAGAATTTGGGCGGCATGTTTCACCTCATTCCGACTGCACTTTTTGCCTCCAATTCTGCTTTTCTTTCTTCTTTCATTCCCACTTCCATTTTATTGTCTCGAATCTTTTATATTGCTATACACTCCCTTAAATTCTTTTGGATTTAACCTTCAGTTTCCTTACCTATAAAATGGGGGATAATGTTCTTTTAAGGGTGTGTGACAAGCACTCAGCACACTGCATGGTCTGTAAGAGATGCTCAATAATGGTGTCTTCTTTCATACTCTTGGAATAAATCTTTGCCTCATTACAACAAAGGACATTATTTGCATTCCAAAAGATTCTTCAATTTATGAAAGGGCTCACCAAAGGGTTCTTTTAACAATAAGCCAAGGTATTTAAAATAGGATACCATTTCCACATTTCTTCAAGGGTATTCCTTACCTAGTCTCTGTCACATAACTGGCACTGTGCTGATCCACCGACTGCTTCCTCCCACTACTCCATGTCAATGCAGCTCCTCTCATATGCTATTTGCAAAGTCCCTGGGATGGAATGGACTAATTTTTAAAATGAAAACCTTTCCTTTATCTTCCCAGAGGAATTTTTAGATAGAAATGGTCTACTGAAGAAAATACAGAACGGGAGATCAAATTTTCTCTTTTACTTCACCTTAAAAATGTCCTCCCTTAAATTCTTCAGTTTTCCATGTACCTAAAGGGGGATGTTGGATCCCATTCCCTCCGCCTTCTGAAACAAGCTTGATTATTTCCACCATGTTAACATATTTTAAAATTTATCAGAAATTAAGTTGTCTGATGAGTTTAATATTGCTGTTAATGATTTATTAAATTATCATTAAAAAAAAATTCTAGGCTAGGAGTGGTGGCTCATGCCTCTAATCCTAGCACTTTGGGAGGCTGAGGTGGGAGGATCACTTGAGACCCGGAGTTAAGACCAGCCTGGGCAACATAGTGAGACCCTGTGTCTATAAAAAATTTCAAGGCCGGGCACGGTGGCTCATGCCTATAATCCCAGCACTTTGGGAGGCTGAGGCGGGCGGATCATGAGGTCAGGAGTTCGAGACCAGCCTGACCAACATGGCAAAACCCTGTCTCTACTACAAATACAAAAATTAGCCAGGTGTGGTGGTGTGCGCCTGTAATCCCAGCTACTCAGGAGGCTGAGGCAGGAGAATCGCTTGAACCCAGGAGGCAGAGGTTGCACTGCGCTGAGATTGTGCCACTGCACTCCAGCCTAGGAGACAGAGCAAGACTCCGTCTCAAAAAAAAAAAAAAAAAAAAAAAAAATTTAAAAATTCGCTGGGCATGATGGTACATACCTGTAGTTCCAACTACTTGGGAGGCTGAGGTGGACGGATCTCTTGAGCCCAGGAGGTCAAGGCTGCAGTGAGGGCCATGATCATGTCATTGCACTCCAGCATGGGTGACAGAGCAAGACCTTGTTTCAAAAAAACCAAAAAACAAAAAACTAACCATCTCATAAAATATTAAGCATTTAATTTTGTCAAGTTTTTATCCCCCAGTCTTTAGCACTTTCAAGGTATCCAATTAAATTAAAAAATAGACAAAGGGAATTCATAATTTGTATAGAATAGGTCACTGTCCAGGCCACTGTCTAATAATCTTCAAAAAGACCTGAGCTGGCAGATCCCAATAATCTACTTATGTTTGCTTAAAGCAATTTGTTGGATCCTTAATACCTGTTGAGTTAAGCACTGAAAAGTTAATTGGCAGTGCCTATCTAGGCTGTATTTCCCCAGGCTTTCCTTTTCCTTCTGGACCTCCCTTCCTTTCTTCTTATCTTTCCCTTCCCTTTTCTCCCTTCTAAAATTTTTATCGAGTCCTTTGGCGGCCAGGCTTTGTACTAAGCACTGGGAATCCACTGGTGGCCAAAATCCTGGCCAGGCCCCTACCCTCTTGGTGCTTTCTGTCTGGTGAGGGGACCATTAATCAAATCACATTCACTAATGGGTGTAGGATTACAAATTGCAGTAGGTACCACTTAGGCCTACAGTACAGTGAGGGATCTGGCCTAGTCTGGGATTAGGAAGACGACAGCTTTTTGGACTGTGAGAGGAAGAATGAGTGGGTAATAAGGCAGCAGAAACATGTGCAAAGGCCCCGAGGTGCTGGGAACTGTGGTGCTCTGGAGACGATGAAAGATAATGTGGCTGGACCAGATAAAACAAAGACGGGGGATGGGGGATGCCTCTGGTGAGCTCAGCAGAGTCAGAGATACATGTCTTGTAAAGATTTTGGCCTTCAACTTAAGAACAAAGGGAAGCCACTAAAGTAAGGAAGAACAAGGGATGTGAGAACTGTTAATGATCGAGACGTCTTAATTTGTCTCTGCAGGAGCAATGCAGTCATACACGTGGTCTCTCACATACACAGTGACGACGGCTGCTGGGTCCCCAGCTGAGAACTCCCAACAGCTGCCCTGTATGAGGAACACTCATGTGCCTTCTTCCTCCGTCACACACAGGATACCAGTTTATCCCCACAGAGAGGAACATGGGTAGGTAACTTTCCAGGGATGCTGCTGGACTTTTAAAATTTGATCTAAAGAGGATGGGTGCAGCAGCTCACACCCTATAATCCCAGCACTTTGGGAGGCCGAGGTGGGCCTTTAAGTCAGGAGTTCGAGACCAGCCTGGCCAACGTGGTGAAACCCTGTCTCTACTAAAACTACAAAAATTAGCCAGACATGGTGGCGTACACCTATAATCCCTGCTACTTGGGAGGCTGAGGTGGGAGAATTGCTTGAACCTGAGAGGCAGAGGTTGCAGTGAGCCGAGATTGCACCACTGAACTCCAGCCTGGGTGACAGAGCAAGACTCCGTCTCAAAAAAAAAAAAAAAAAAAAAAAAAAAAGATCTAAAGAGGGGTTTCCTTAACAGCTATTTTCTTAAAGAACAGGAAGGGTGCTACCCTTTGCTGAGTTCCCACAATATCGTGAGCACTGTATTGTGTAATCCCCACAACAACCAGGGTAGGTAGATAGGTAAGAAGGTGTTAGTGACCCCATTTTAGATGAGGAAATTGAAACTTGGTTCTCTTCAGTTCCCCAAGGTCACACAGCTGGCACATGGTAGGACCTAACTGAGCACATATCTGACTCCAAAGCCTGTGTTCCTCCCTCTTCACTCCTTTAACGCCTCAGCTGAAAACCCCTTTCAGCAGTTCTCCTGGCTGGCTCTTTGTACAAATTGCAGACTTACAGAGCGCCATCTTAGGTTCAAGTCTTTTATGATTCCACTTAGAGAAGGGCTTCCTCACCTGAGGGCTGGAGGTCCCTTTAGGGCTGCAGTTATTCATGAGGTTCAGGGGATTCCCCATAGGTTCTAGCGGTGCTTTATGCCCTGGAAAGATGCATCATTTGTTTTGCCCATACGTATATATTTTTCAAATGTGTGGAGTGATGTTGCTGTGATGAATGAACTACAAATCCATACAAAAGTGTTACTTGAATCCTCGTAGTTCTTTGCCATTATGCATTGTCTTTATCAAAAGACACTAACCTTTCAATGTCTAATGAGCAGTGATCTGAAAAGCACTTAGGATATTAAAAAGAGATCCTGACTGGGCACAGTGGCTCATACCTGTAATCCCAGCACTTTGGGAGGCCAAGGTGGGTGGATCACTTGTGGTCAAGAGTTTGAGACCAGACTGGCCAACATGATGAAACCCTGTCTCCCTACTAAAAATACAAAAATGGGCCAGGCGCGGTGGCTCGTGCCTGTAATCCCAGCACTTTGGGAGGCCGAGGCGGGTGGATCACGAGGTCAGGAGATCGAAATCATCCTGGCCAACATGGTGAAACCCCATCTCTACTGAAAATACAAAAATTAGCTGGATGTAGTGGCACGCGCCTATAGTCCCAGCTACTCAGGAGGCTGAGGCAGGAGAATCGCTTGAACCCAGGAGGCAGAGATTGCAGTGAGCCGAAATTGCACCACTGCACTCCAGCCTGGCGACAGAGGGAGACTCCATCTCAAAAAAACAAAAAAAGAAAAATTAGATGGGCGTGGTGGCAGGCGCCTGTAGCCCCAGCTATTCAGGAGACTGAGGCAGGATAATTGCTTGAACTCAGGAGGCGGAGGTTGCAGTAAGCTGAGATCGCACCACTGCATTCCAGCCTGGAGAATAGAGCAATACTCCATCTCAAAAAAAAAAGAAAGAGAGAGAGATCCTACCATGTGGTGCAGTGGGCCTGACCACTCCCAGGCCAGGTTCCAACAGACCAGTTGTGGGGTACATGAGAGGAGGAGGGGGAGGACCTCTCAGGTCCCTTCCACAGTTGGCCCAGCATAGTGCAGCACAGCGGTGACCTGACAGTGTGCACAGGCCTGGATGTTGGTGTACTTTTCCATAGGTTCAAGTGCTCCCAAGCAGTCAATCGGGCAGCCATTATTTTCTCAGGAGGCCTTTGAGAGTATTTCCACACATTTAGAATAGACTCTGAAAACCCTATTTCAGAGAGATTTTTGATTCAGCAGAAATAGCAGAAAAAATACTCACATGGTCATAGGTCAGCATCTTTGCTATAAAGATGTTACTAAGAAGAACAGTGATAATAATAGGCTATGTCTACACAGGACTTTCTGGTTTATAGAGTGTGTTCACACATATGATCCTCAGAATGACCGTGCACAGTATTTTTATGGATGTGAGAAACAGGGTCGTGAAAGTCACAGCTAGAAAGTGGTGGAGTCTGGCTTAGAACCGGGGTCTTTGATGCCTGTTTGACCATGCCATGGTGTTATCCCCCCAGGAGACAGCTTACAGAACCCCACTATATCCTTCCCCATGATGTGGAAGCAGAGGCCTGAGTGATATAAAAACATAAATCTCACAGTGGTTTCTTTTTTGTTATCCCTATTTGATTCCAGGATACAACAGGGCTTTTAAACACAGCAGGAGTAGAGGTTTCCATCACTAATGATGTTTGGCTCAGGGCTAGATTTCATCTCTGAACGCTGGCTGGGGGAAGGGAGGTATGTTCTAGGTGTTGAGGGAGTAGGAAAATCAGCCTGGGGTTTTAAGTTAACCATAACAAGGCCACAAAAGTGGAAATGGTAAGAATCAAAAGGAAGAGGCCAGACGCGATAGCTCATGCCTGTAATCCCAGCACTTTGGGAGGCCAAGGTGGGTGGATCACCTGATGTCAGGAATTTGAGACCAGCCTGGTCAACATGGTGAAACCCCATCTCTACTAAAAATACAAAAATTAGCCGGGCATGGTGGCGCACACCTGTAATCCCAGCTACTCAGGAGGCTGAGGCAGGAGAATCATTTGAACCCAGGAGGCGGAGGTTGCAGTAAGCCAAGATCATGCCACTGCATTCCAGCCTGGGCAACAGAATGAGACTCTGATTCAAAAAAAAAACAAAAAAAAAGACGAAAGAATGAAAAATGGGGTTGGGGGGTGAAGGGGGAAGAAAAGAGAGAAAAAAAGAAAAAGGAAAAACATAGATGAGGTTTTTAAAAAGTTGTCAAACTGATCTGTTCTTGCTATTACTCACACTATTCAATGTGCTTGATGCATTTTAGATACACGGGAAGCTATAACTATGGGAGCTATGGCAACCAGCATCCTCACCCCATGCAGAGCCAGTATCCGGCCCTCCCTCATGACACAGCCATCTCCGGGCCACTCCACTATGCCCCTTACCACAGGAGCTCTGCACAGGTGAGTCAGTGGTCCTGGTTTCTTGCCCAGACCTTGGTATACTTGGTGCCAAATCTGGTTAACACAGTTTGTAAACTGTTATGCATGCTGTGTGTGCAGCATGTATGTCCCCAAGGAGAGGACAGTCTTTTCATCAGCGTCATTTCTGGCCTCCAATGGCTGGCCCACAGTGGGTGCTCGGCCAGCGTTCATGCTCCATTTGCTCTCACATGCCTGGTTGCTAAACAGTTTGTTTTTCATTCTATCCTCTCTTTGACTTCTTCATGCCAAGATCTAATCGGCCGCATGTCTGCTGCCCTTTTTCGGGCAGCTACCCTCACCCTGGGCCTTGGGTCTCCTTTCCCATCACCACTCTCCTGGTGCAGACCCTCATGGAGTCTTGTCAGGACTGGTCTCTCAACATCATTCTAACTGGTCTCGTGGTGTCCCGTGTCTGCTCTTTTCATCCAGCCCACACACGTAATCTTAAGCGGAAGAATCCTCCTGAAATGGATCCCTTTTCAAATCACTCTCAGGCCCTATATCTCCTTGGGCTCCGCACTGTCTAATAAGCCAAACCAGCCCTCCGTGGTCTGTGGGGAATGGACAGGCCATGGCACCTGGCTGCATTTGGAAAACCACCGCTGGACACTCTATCTGTCTAACACTTTCCTGTGCATTGGCTCTGATCCGACTGGTTGCCAGTTCCACTCTGCGTCCTAAGTATCTCTGTATGCCCTCTGTGCTCGTCTCAGCTCAGGCCTTTATCATATCCAACCTAGATGAAGACAGAAGCCTTCCTGATGATCTCTATGCCTCTAAAAAGTGCCCCATCTCTGGTTCATCCCCGACACTGCAGCTAGAGGAGTCTTTCGGAAAAAACCCAACTGACCATGATACTTTAGCTGTCTTTGGCACGTCATCGCTTTCCAGGTCAAGTTCAATTCCTTAGTATGTCTCTTAAGACTCATTACCTTTTTGGCCTACTCACCAACTCCCTCCCTCCCCCCAGCCATGCCAGCCCTCATGTGGTTGTCTCGGATGTGCCGAGTTCCTCCGTGTCTTTGTAGATATTGTTTCCTCGGGCTGGGTGTCTCTTCCCCAGTTTCTTCTGCTGGGCATTCATGACAAGCATCTTGCTGTCTTTGTGGCATTCCTGAAAGTACCCCCTTGCTTCCTCCAGGACCTTATTAGGTGCCACTCCCTGGGTTTCCTCTCTCAGTAGCATTTCTCACACCCTGTTATCATCACCAACTTTCCTGTTTGACACGCACAGAGACCCTAAGCTCCCTGAAGGCAAAGATTAAGTCCAGTATCCTCAAGTCACAGCACTTGGCACCTATAAAAAGAGGAGCTACCTTCTCCTGAACACGTGCTATATGCCAGGCTCTGCGCTGAGCACTCTCCACATCCCTTGGATAACCCCTGCAGAAAAGGAAGTGAGACTCACAGTAACCTGCCTGAGGAGCTGAACCCAGGAGCTGTGACTCCTGTCCAGGCTCTCAGGCACCACCCCCTGCCGCCTCTCAGATGCAGGCATTCACTAAGTGTACACTGAGCAGATGAGTACATGGGAGGTGGCGTCAGCATGAACAATAGTACGGTGTGCTGAGCATGCTCACTCTATTCTGCAGGCACAGGAAGCTAGGGAGTGGTAAGATCAGAGCTATGATTAACAAAGAGAGCTCTCAGGGTCCCCACAGAATGAACCAAGAAGGGGGGCTGGTGGAGGCAGGGGGCTCTGCTCCAAAGCACTTGTAGAAGTTTAGGAATGAGATGGCAGGACTGACGCTAGCGTGGAGGCTGTAATTACATCAGCTGTTAGCACACAGACTCGTCTCTGAAGGAGGGCACCAAGGAGAACGTATCCACAATACATGGCACTCTGGGCAAACAGGTGTTTGTTTTGATTTCCATCTGCAGTACCAAGGGGAGCCCTGGTTTAATCCCCAGACAAGCCAAGAAGTTGATTCCACTAAATCATCACCTGGGGCATTCATTATAGGTTTCCAACTGCATCACACAGAGATGCCAGCTCCTTAGGAGCTCCCTCTCTTGGGAGCACTCTGTGCTCCTCACTGTGATCCACTGCATGACTGAGAACGGCTGCAACAGCCTAAATCACTCCACACACTCCAAGCATCTCATTCATTCATTCATTTCTCAAATGGCTCCTGGGTAACTACTATGTGCAAGCACTGCACTAGCCACTGGGAGCACAGTGAGAAGGAGACAGAGCATGCCTGCTTTGGTAGAGCTTATGCTCCAGTGGGAGACAGCATCATCAAGCCACAACTCTGGACATTGTCTTCCCTCCTTCTTCACTTCCTCATTCCCCCTCATGAAATGGCAGAAGCTGGTTTTCTGGGGTGATATTTTTAAAGCCATTGCCATAAAAAGAAGCCAAGGTCTCCTCAAGGCCCATGAGGTCCTGCTCTGGAAGCCACAACAGTCCCCAACTGGAACACTGTCATTTAATAGCTGGTCTTAATAGAATGGCCCAAGGACACGCGAAAGCCCATGGAAGGGCCCTTTTAATCCAGACAAGGTGTGAGAGTCCAAAGGGTCCTAGGCCAGGCTCTTCGCCACCATGCCCTGTGACTCTTAGACGAGTGCCTCTGACACTCCCCTCAACACACACACTCCACACTTCGTGGTTTATGCCTTAGTCTCCACATGTAAAATAGGGTGGAGAGAAATTTATTACATCGGTCTCTACCTAGGTTGATGAGTGAGGTCAGTGTTCAAAACGGGGTACCTCTCTGGGGGAAGGTACTGTCTAAAGACAAAGTATCCTTTGTTTTGTTTTCATTAACATTTATTCAGAGCACTGTTCTAGGCATATTTAAATATACAGACTCACTTAATTGCCATAACAACCTTGGGAAGAAGGCATTTTTGGAGATAGGATCTCACTCTGTCACCCAGGCTGGAGTGCAGCTGTGCAATCTTGGCTCACTGCAACCTCCACCTTCGGGGCTCAAGTGATCCTCCCACCTCAGTCTCCCTAGTACCTGGGACTATAGGCGCATGCCACCAAGCCCAGCTGATTTTTGTGTTTTTGTAGAGACAAAGTCTTGCCATGTTGACCAGGCATGTCTCAAACTCCTGGGCTCAAGTGATCCTCCTGCCTCAGCCTCCCAAAGTGCTAGGGCTACAGGTGTGAACCACTGCACCTAGCCTTTTCACTGTTTTTAAAGATAAGTAGACTGCCTCAGAAGGTAATGCGCCCCAGGCCATGCATCCAGTAAGGGACAAAGCAGACTCAAATGCAAATCCTCTAGCTCTCAATCCCAATGCTAAACCAGTGGTACTGAATACTACTGTTTTGGAGAGTGGAAGGTAAATTCAAGAGGTTACTGCTGCTATTCTCAGTAAGTTTCAAGTTGCCAAAGAGAAGCACACACCCCAAGATAACCTTATTTCTTTCCTTTATTGGTTTTTTGGTTTAAGGTTGAGCATAGAGAAAATCCACTGCAGGGCTAATTAGTTTTAGCTTTTCAGAGCAGGGGTCAAGCTGTTCCAATTCTGAGTAACTGAATATCACAATTCACTACGTCAGACTCACCAGGGAAAAGGACAGTCTGAATTGGAAGAAAAATTGCAAGTATGCAATATGGTTGGAGAAATGCAATTGGTCATCAGCACAAAAGTAACTGAAACTACTGCAAATCAATGCCAGCTAGGTTTCCTTAGAGGGCTGATACATCTGTGAAGCACAGTAATTATAGGGGTCCCAGCATTTCTATGCTCAAAATAATTTTAAGTCATTTGTTTTCAAAATAGAATATGTGTATGCCTTTATTTACACTACTTATTTGTATAATACATACTTTCTTCCTGGGTAATACAAAGGTAAGCCTCCCAGCCCTGCTTAGATTCTTATAACTTCTGACTTAGTCCAGATGAATGAGGTTTCACAGTGTAAGGTTTGAATTATTTTGGAAAAACATTGCAACTGTGCTGCACTTGTTCACATCAAAGTAAGCTGCCTCTTTCCAGGTTCCCCATTCCCAGGTCCAACCGAAAGGAGAAAATAAACCAGACCAAGTACATAGCTACAAAATCTTTCTGAGCCTTATTCAATACATGTTCATAGAACCTCTACCCTGTCAAGCAGCCATAGTGGAACTGGGGCCCTTGAGCTCAAAAGCCATTTGATCACACTTAGACTGGAAAGCTGTCCCTTATTTATCATCTGAAAGGCAGAGGCCAAGCCTTATCAGCTAATTACTGCCTCTCACAGAATCTCCAGCAGTCTGGCCCAAACCAACCCAGGACCACTGGGTGCTACAACGTTTGCTTAGGGCACTGTACTTCAGGTTGGCGTCTTGGGCCAAAAAGAAAAAAAAAAAAAAATCAATCAATGATAGTGTTGTAAGATCTCTGACTGTAGAGCCAGGCTCCTTGGGTTCAAATCCCAGCTTTGCCTCCAATTAGCCCTGTGCCTCAATTTTCTCATCTGAAAAATGAGGATAATTATGGTATCTATTTCATAGGGTTGTAGTGAGGGTCAAGTGAGTTAGTAAAGGTCAGAACAGGGCCTGGCTCATAGTTAACACATTTTATTATTATCCTTTGTAACACCACAGTTATCATATTTAGGGTAATTTTATAATTAAGATCTGTCTCCCTCACTGTACTAGCTCTGTGAAAGCAAGCACCAAGTCCTTTTTCTCTCCCCATTATATTCCCATGGCCTAGCACCAAGCTTGGCCCTCAGTGAGTGCTCAGTAAATACTTGTCAATGAAACGAATGAATGACTGGTACTAAGTTGCTGTGTGATTGCAGTAGATCATTTCCCTTCTCTTGACCTTAATTATTTCACCTGTAAAACCAGAGGTAGAACCAGATGGTTAGTCACTAAGGCTCTTCCTACCATTAATGGACCATGACCCTATGATTCTAAAAATAACATTAATAACAGCTGACACATTTTGAAAACTTACTACACAGGAGTTCTAAGTGTTTCACATGTAATAACTTAACTAATCCTGACTTTAAAACCTCAGCAGCAGGGGGATGGTGGCTCACACTTGTAATCCCAGCACTCTGGGAGGCTGGGAGCCCAGGAATTCCAGTAGGGGGGCTGTTTGAGCCCAGAAGTTCGAGATCAGCCTGGGCAATGTAGTGAGACCTCATCTCCACAAAAAATTTAAAAATTATCTGAGAGTGGTAGCACACACCTGTAGTCCCAGCTACTTGGGAGGCTCAGGTGGGAGGATCACTTAAGCCTGGGAGGCACAGGTGCAGTGAGCTGAGATCACCCCACTGCACTCCAGGCTGGGTGACAGGGCAAGACTCTGTCTCAAAAAAAAAAAAAAAAAAAAAAAAAAAAAAAAAAAGCTCAGCAGATGTGGACTGTCTGACAAAGAATTTTTGGGAACTACATCCTTCTCCAGAAGAGGCTAAGAGAAGAGGCTAAGAGGCTAGGGGTGAGCCCTCTGGCAGTACTTTGGTGCAGTGAGAGCTGCCTTTCATAGGAAAACAGTTTGTGCTCCTGACTGGACCACCTTTCACCCCTTGTTCAAGTAGCAGCTCATTTGGTAAGGGGTCAGGAATAAAGGGCTCTTTCTTCCCTCTCCATGTGTAGGAAAGTCAGCCCTTGGTGTGGAGAGTCACTTCTCAAAATAGATCTTCCTAATATGGTTCCAAAGAGACCAAGAGTCAATCGTAGCTGAGATGGGCTTATGCCATAGGCATCTGATGAACGTTGGACTGTGTGTGCAGGCACACACACGTGCACACAGGCACCCCTCATACCCTCCTCTCAAGGGGTGGTAAACTGGTGACTTATGTCCTTTTTAAAATCAGTAGCAACAGCATATGATTTAATCCAGAGAATGGTAACTTCCTGTTACGGGCCCTCAACAAAAAGTGCCTTATTCCAGCAGAGATCTCTGGACCCCGGAGTTTGTGCCCAGCATGCTTAAGGACCCTGCATGAAACCGGATGTAAAGTGTGAGAGGTGAGGCGGGTGCCATGGGCCAGCCTCTGCCACTCCCACCAGACTAAATAGAAGCTTCATTGGTCATGTTAATGACCAAGCCAAGGCAGTGAGCACTTCAGCTAACTGGCCTTTCAATGGTCTCTTCACTACAGGGAAAACGAGTCACTGACTCATTTGCAATTAGCTGACCTAACAGGACAGAATTTTCCATGCTGGATTCTGTGGTAACAGAATTTTATTGTCACATTAGAGATATTTTGAGCCAGTCTCGTTTCCAGGCAATTACTCTTTTGAGTGTATGACACAACTTCTGAGCACAGCTGTGTCGAGGGTCCTTGACTAGGCACAAAAGCCACACTCTCGGGTTCTGTGGGAAAGAGCCCAAGTCCATTCTGTGACATTTTACTTACACGAGCCAAGGCAAGGCGGACTCTGTTGGAACCAGCAAGCTGAGGCCAGGTGAGAATTCTAAGGCCCCAGAGCTCTGTCGGGGAAGAGGGAGCTTAGAGAAGGAAGAGCAGCAGAGAGATTAAAGTCTAATGGGCTGGCCTCCAAAAAGGGAGTGCTCTCCTGCTCCTGGGTAACTTGGCAGTGGCAGGTCAGCCTCCTTTGGGACGGTCATATCAATGTGGGGAAAGCATGCTCCCCAACTGGGTTTCTATGCCAGCTCTTCCACTAGCTTGCTGTGTGACTTTGGGCAGGACACGTGATCTCATGGGGCCTGGCTTTCTCATCTGTACAACATGGGGTTGGATCCCAGGATTCCTAAAATTTGTTCTAGTAGTAATGTCCCAATGTTCATTTGCTAACTATTATTTAGCACCTGCTAGGTGCTAGGCACCATGCCAGATGTTGGGCACATGGTGTTGAACACAGCAAAGCCCCATCAGGAGTATATGAATATAAGCCAAAAGAAAGACCTAGCTAGCTGCCAGGCAGGATGGTAAGGCCCCGGCCCAAGAGGCACAGGCTGGGGTATTTAGGTTCTTGAGATAGGATTCCAGAAAAGTCTCTCTGAGGAGGTGACATTTAAGCTGAGATAGAAAGAATGACAAAATGGCAGGTATGGCAGGAGCCGGGGTAGGGGTGGTAGAGAAGGTTCTAGGCAGAAGGAACAGGTAGGACAGAATTCCCTGAGTTGGAACCAGCTTGGCATGCCATGGGACCAGAAGGGAGGCCTCTGTGCCAGGAAGAGCACCAGGAGGTGAGGTGACACCCAGGAGTTCACTTGAGAGAAGATCAGGTGGGGCAAGCAACCTTTCTGAAAAAGGATCGTTTTGTAGTAATAGTTCCTAATGTTATCTGTTTAATACACCTGGGATCTTGGTTTTTTGGGACAGGGCCCAATCTTACTATGGTCTCACTGGGATTTAGAGCAGTTCCTGTGCTAGAATCCCACTGTGCAGACCTGAGAGTCCACCACTGCTGCCACACAAACAGCATCCTGCAGGTTCCCATGATGCAGAGCACAGGGGTATGTGCCAGTGTTTCTGATCTGATTTGGGATTAGGAAAGCCTTGGCGTGCTGTCCATGGTCTCCTTGGCAACAGCCCTTGGTGCCTTCTCCCTTGAGTTCCCAGACACCACCTACGCCCTTCTCCGTCTTTTCTAACTGTTCTTTTGGTTGTGAAGTGGCTGTACTCTTGCTATGTAAGGCATGCCATCCTATGTAGGGGGAAAAGTCCCTCGCTACTCGAATTAGGATCCCTCTTTCTTGACCTCTGAATTGCTGGTTCTCTTTGCATGCTTCAGGCCTAAGCACCTGCCCCAGCTCCCCTTAGGCTCTCACTCACAGAGGAAGAGCAGTTCCCTGTAGCCACCTAGACTCCAGGGAGCAGCCATTGTTGTCATAGCCCCTTCTCCCTGCTGTCTAGGCTTCAGCCTGTCTGTCTCCCTCATAGGAGGCAGCCTCCCACCTAATCTCCTGGGGCTCCACTTTCCAACTGTCAGGGAAGACAGATGGGGAGCAGAAGAATTCATACATTCACACACTTTCCTCCTCGCTGCTCTGGCCATCCTTGTTGATTGGCTCCTGTCCTTGGTGGGGTATCCCTCAGCACAGCAAAGAAATCTTTGTGCTGACTGGCCTGCAGACTGGGAGCTCTCAAAGGGAGCCCATAGCTCCTCTCCTTCCTCCCCTCTGATCCTACTAACCCGGGCTTATTTGCATAGCTGTCTTGGTAACAGAAAAGAATGTAAAAGAAGAAGCACTTCAGAAGCACTTCTCTTACTCCTAATCCTTTCTAGAACTACTTCCCCTCTTCTTGTAGCTACTAACACCTGTTCCTCTGACCTGCACAAAAGCTCCCCTCCCCGCCGCTCTCAATTGGTTTCTCTTGACTCGTTCCTCCACATTCACACCAAGTCCAATTCCTATTCGTGTATCTTCCAGGAGTTCAGCAAATGTGAGCCAAAAAGAAAGACATTCTCTAAATGATAGGCACTAATAATAACCTTTGAAATTGTTGACTTGCTTCCTCTTCAAAAGCCTGCTTTTAGGCTGAAGTTTATAATTGAATTCAACTGTAAAATGTTATTTTTTAATAACGTCATTGTATTTTACTTGGCAGTGTTATGCTCTTGGGTTGATGGACTAGGACCTATCACATCTCCATAACTAACAATAAAACTCACTACCATCCATCTGTACATCCATATTTATTTATCTGGACATGCAGTTACTAGTGTATTTGTGCGTGTGACAAACACACACTTTTCTGTATTCCTGGTGTGGCTGTTTCTCATTTTGGGTTTGACTTCCCAAGATATTGCAGATTAGGAACAGAAAGCCAGTATAACCGCATGAGTAAACACCAGCCCAACTCAGGCTATGAAATCTTTTGCATTTCTCCTGTTGACTTCCCTAAGACCAAGATTCAATCTTGCAGAAGTTCAGTGATTCCTCTCCATCAGCTCTCATTAATAGCATCTTAAGAAATTTAACTTAAACTATAAACATGACTGATATTGTGTATATGCAACTTCAAGCTAATTTTTACTTTGTGGAATTTCTTTCCCCTCAACAAGTACCCTTTTAATAGCCCCACTTCCCGGATGGAACCTTGTTTGATGAGCAGTACTCCCAGACTGCATCCTACCCCAGTCACTCCCCGCTGGCCAGAGGTGCCCTCCGCCAACACGTGCTACACAAGCCCGTCTGTGCATTCCACGAGGTACGGAAACTCTAGTGACATGTATACACCCCTGACAACGCGCAGGAATTCTGAGTATGAGCACATGCAACACTTTCCTGGCTTTGCTTACATCAACGGAGAGGCCTCTACAGGATGGGCTAAATGACTGCTATCATAGGCATCCATATTTAATATTAATAATAATTATTAATAATAATAAACCCAACACCCATCCCCCAGAAGACTTTATCTCTATACATTGTAACTCATGGGCTATTCCTAAGTGTCCATTTTCCTAATGAACATGAGGATGGGATTCAATGTGGGATGAATAAACTTTAGTTCAGAAACAGGACTTACTAAAAGTCAGCGGGATTGGGTTTCTGTAGCCAAGCCAGACTTGACTGTTTCTATAGAGCACTATCTCGGGCAGGCCATTCTGTGCCTTTTCCCTCTGTTCCATGACTTTGCTTTGTGTTGGCAACCACTTCTAGTAAGCTACTGATTTTCCTGTTGACAAAATCTCTTTAGTCTTGAAGGATGGATACTGGAGACAGAATCTGGTTTGTGTTCTTGGATGGGCACATAATTTGCCAAGAGCATTCACCTTGCCATCTGTCTGTCATCGTACTGTACAGGGAACAGCCCTCAGACGTGTTCTGCACATCCCTTCTTCCTGGTGGTATCATCACTGCTTCCTGGAGCACCAGGGCTAAATGGGGAGCTATCTGGAAACTCTAGATTTTCTGTCATAACCCACATCTGTCACAGTACCTGCATTGTCTTGGAATGTAAGCACTGTCTTGAGGGAAGGAAGAGGTCTGTTCTGTATTGCCTTAAGTTGATTGAGGTTTGTAGGAGACTGGTTCTTCTACATACAAGGATTTGTCTTAAGTTTGCACAATGGCTAGTGTCAGCAAAAGGCAGGAAGGTTTTTTTTTTTTTAAGTTCTATGAGAATGTGGATTTATGGCATTGAGTATCACACTCAGCTCTGCTGTGTTAACTTTGTGAAACTGGATGGAACAAACTTTAACTTACCAAGCACCAAGTGTGAAAATGACTTTCATGGTTCCTTCATAAAACTATAATAATATCCGACACTTTGATAGAAAAAAATTCAAAGCTGTGCCTTTGAGCCTATACTATACTGTGTATGTGTGGAAATAAAAATGTATTGTACTTTTGGAGAATTTTTTTGTAGGCATTTTTCTGTCAGATTTGTAGTAATTTGTGAGGTTTGTTAGAGATTAATATAGGTTTTCTTTCTGTATTATAAAATGCACCAAGCAATTATGGTGGACCTATTACCCTATGGGTAAGAAATAAATGGAAATACGACATCGGATGTTTTAGCAATTGTTCTGTAAATAAAATCTTTGATCACACCACTCAGTGTGATAATTGTGTCTACAGCTAAAATGGAAATAGTTTTATCTGTACAGTTGTGCAAGATATGAATGGTTTCACACTCAAATAAAAAATATTGAAATGACCTGCTTTCTTCTGACTTTTCATTTGACATGACCTCTGTGTGTGTGTGTGTGTGTATAAATAACATTCTGAATACTTAGGGTGTAAGTAGGCAGGGAAAAACTAAGTAGTCTTATATGGCTGTGTTTATCCAGTTCCCCATCATCTTGTCATATAATAATTAAAATGTGTAGAAACCACACATCCTGTCCTTGAATAATGATTAAGTAAAAATAGTACCTACAGTCTGATAGAGGTTTGTAGGGGACTAGTTCTTCTACACACAGAGATATGTCGTAAGTTTGCACAGTGGTTAGTGTCACCCAAAGGCAGGAACCTTTCAGCTCTTATAGGGAATACTATTCTTCGATACCAACACCATTAAGAGATCCCTTAGTTCATTATGCTTTAATGATCACTGGGTGTAAAGATATTTCAAGTGCAGTGCTTTAAATGCTAATAAACTTCTGGAACAGAATAGTAACATTACTGAATACTTAATAAGTATTAACAAATTCTTCTCCAGCACAGTATTTTTATTCTGGGGTTGAGAGGAGTGGGGTATCAAAGTACAATGATGGTGTTTTTCTCAAACATTAAGAGTCTAGGATCTATGAGAAGTTCAGAACCACAGATGTCCAGAAATGGGAGTAGTGAGTATATTAACTAAAAGGCATGAGAACTTGACAATTCAATTTGCATTTTGAAAGATTTATATTTAAAGCCAAGTTCTTACTTGCTATTACGTAATATATTTATACCTGAACATGATTTTTAAGATTAAAATTAAATACAGAACATCCCCTTATATTTAGCTATGTTGTTCTACAAAAAGAAAGCAGATGTTGAATTTCACTTTCTGATGGTCAATTAGTTTGATCTTTTGTCCACAATCCATTAATTGGCTTTCATATAAGGAAAGTAAAGAAAAGGAAGAATGAAATTTCAGATTTAGTCACTGCCAAAAATAAACCTAAGAGTGACCAGACCAGTCTCTCTTACAATTCAAAGCCAGAGCTCCCTTAAATAAATGAAAGGGTGTAGGAAGTCAGACTTTTGACTTACTAAGCACAAAAAAGTAATCACCAAATTCTTTAGTCAGGTAACGAGGGCATAGGACACCCATTTACACATAACAGCCACAAGCTCATTAACTGCACAAATCTTTAGGCAAAACGAGTCATAATCAACAAGGGTCTGAAGCCCATAGAACAGGTCACCTCAGGAACTTTGCAAGGAAGAAAATGTGTGCCTCCCTTTCACAGCACAACCAAGACCCTGGAAAAGAAGGCAGCTTCAGATGAAGGCAAAAGGCCACTGGGCCTCCTCTCCAGAGCACCAGGTGCCCACCTCTTGGGAGCCGAGTAGTACCTATGTTCCCAATTGTTTTAAAACTTTCAACTTTGGAACCAGGAAAGATCTGAATAGGAAAAGGCGGCAGCTGCTGTGAGCACATGACTCAAATGCACCTTCTTTGCCTCTGATAGCTCCCAGTCAGTCACCAGAACGGGAAATTCGGGCAAGGCTGGCAGCTGGGAGTGGGGCCAGTCACTTGTCAGGGGAAGAACAGAAGAGTCTTGGCAGTAAAGGGACCCTCCCCTCTTAGGACTTTTTCTGAAAAGAACTCTGCCAGCTTGAAACTGGCTGAAGTCATGAAGAGCAGCCAGGATGGCTCACCCACATTGCAGGCCTCTGGTGTCCTCAGATTCCATCCTGCTGTGTTCTTTGTCAGGCCTCTGGTACACCCCAGCTCTGGGTAGAAAGAGAATTTGTCGCCCCTCTGAGACTGAAACCCAGGCACAGACCAACCCAAAATGTTTGCCATGGAGTAAGTCCAACCCAAATGGGGGAGGGGAAATTGTGGAAACTGCCATGTGACCTTGAACGGTTCACCTCCCCACTCTGGACCTCAAGCAGGTGTGTTACATGATTATGACATTCCAACTTACAGTCTGCACTGATGGACCAGGGCTGGCAGAGCTGGATGAGGAGGATGGATGGGCTGTTTAGGGAAAACAAAAAACGGAGAAGACTGGCAGCTGGGCAGTGATTCAGGGAGGGAGCCACAGGAGAGAAGGCACTGGCTCCACCAGCTGGTGCTATAACACAGAGTGAGGCTCATGAGTCCAACCCCATCCTCCCTTGTACAACTCTGGAGAGCAGTGTTTGGCAATTTTCCTCTCTCTTCAAAACTGGCCTTAATATTTGCTTTAAAGTAAAGTCGAAATGTCTGAAGTGAATCTAGAGAAGGAAAGATAGCAAAAACAAACAGCTATTTTGTTCCAACCTCTTGCACTGCTTAAAGGCAGACTTGCAAGATTAGAAAACAATTAAGGCCGGGCATGGTGGCTCACACCTGTAATCCCAGCATTCTGGGAGGCCGAGATGGGTAGATCACTTGAGCTCAAGCTTAGGAGTTTGAGACCAGCCTGGGCAATATAGTGAGACCCTATCCCTACAAAAAATTTAAAAATTAGCCAGTTGTGGTGACACGCACCTGCGGTCCTAGCTACTCAGGAGGCTGAGGTGGGAGGATCACTTGAGACCGGGTATTTGGGCTTACAGTGAGCTATGAATGGGCCACTGCACTTCAGGCTGGGGGACAGAGACCTGTCTCAATAAATTAATAAAGACAAAAATACTGATGTATAGGTCCCACCCACAATGAATAGTGACTTGGAACGTGACCCAGGCATCAGTATTTTCCTAAGCTCCTCAGGTGACTGAATATGCAGTCAAGGTTGAGAAACACGATCCCTTCCACCCTCAAGTTCTAAACTTCAGGAACTACTACTATTCCCTGAACATGTGGCCCAAGTTTCTCTTTTGCAGCGTTGTTTGTCCAGAGTGGAGAACCATGCTCTGTGCAAGTACTGGTACTCCACCGTAACCTACACCGTGCATAGTTTTCCCTTAGCTGACAAACCTTTCCCTAAACTGCGCTGTTCTGTTCTCCCTTCAGCTACCCCCACCTCCCTACCACTTTGCTGCCTGCCCTTCTAACCTGGAACTTCTCTGCTTCAGTTCCTTGGCAGCCTCCCAAGCTAAGCCAGCTTGGACACAGTGCTTGGGGCTTCCTCTTGTTCCAAGGAGGTCAGAACCTTTTGTGCTTCACCAGCCTCCTCCCTGAAGCTCTTCCCCCAATCCCCCTCCTGTGTCTCAACCTCCCCCAACCCTGCCGCCACCCTCTCACCCCCATATTTTGCTGCTGCTGGTGTAGGTGGGACGGAAGACGTGGGCCACAAGAGATGAAGAAAGAGCTGTTGCTAGGAAAGGAGTGTGGGTGAAGAGAGATGGTGGGCGGGAGAAATAGGACTCCCCAGTTATATGCCTCCCTTTCTCATCATAAATGCCTCAAGAGCTAAAACCAGCTGTTTAAAATCTATTATGAAAAATAATGAGGTCTGACCGTGACAGCAGGGGTAAGAGAATCAGCCTTAGAAAGAGTTGAAGTGCTGATACTTGGTATTTATGTCTTCTCCTAGAAAAGAAAAGCCTCTGAGTGAAGTTTAAAAGAGCAACTTCTCAAGGAACTATCAAACTGTGCCCCTGTGAGGGACAGTATCCAGAATGTCTTGGCATATGCTATACCTCTCAGAAACAATAAACTGCAAGGTGTCTTAAGAACCAAAATATAGTTGAGGCAGAAGGATGATCTTTAAATGAGAAGTCTGCAACACTCTTTCCTCACCTCACACTCAGGGGCACATTTCTGAAATAGATCTGCCTTAATCCACGGAGTCTCCCATTTATTGAAGTCTTCTCTGTACCAGGCACATTAGACTCGCCATGTCTGCTTCTCACAAGTTCCCTGCAATACCAGTGGCATAATCGCTTCTGTTTACAGGTGAAGAAACGGAGACTATGAGCAGCTTAATGCCTTGCTGAAGGTTACAGTTTAAGGGGCAGAGCTGGGATCTGAAAATTACTCCAGGCACAGAAGCTCACACCTATAATCACAGCACTTTGGGAGGCCAAGGAGAAAGGATCACTTGAGGCCAGGAGTTTAAGACCATGGCAACACAGTGAGACTCTGTCTCTCTCTATATATTAATTTTTAAAACACAATAAAAGAAATACTACTCCAGAGCCTGTCTGTGCTTTTTCTACCAAAGCACACTCTTCCTCCTTCCTACTTTTCTTCCCACCCTCCCACCCCATCCCAACTTCCATTCGCCTCTCCTGAGCAGTTCTGCAGTTTTAAAAATCAACCTTGACTGCGGTAATAGAACTTACTGGGGTGGAAGAGAGTTTCAAAAGTTTTGGGAAATTTTTGTGCTCACAAAATGCAGGCAGTTTCTAAGCTGGGCACCAGATCTTCCCCTAAACCAGAGGTGGCATTCTGCTCACTGTAAATAAATAGCAGACTACCTTTCCCTCTGTCATTTCCCAACGTACATACAAACCAGTGCATTATGTATGACCGAGATTTGGTTATTCTATATAGAAACAGGAATAAAAGAAAATCAATAATAATGAAAAAAAAATACCAGGTCACAGAGGATTTTTATTACCAGGTCGGAAAAAAAAGCTCTGCAGGGGGGCGTGCAATGAGCCAAGCATTCACTAGAATGAAGTCACTGGGGTGGGGGAGGAAGGAGCACGGAGGAGACTGGCTACCTCTTGCTGTTAAGGTCACTACCCTTTGACAGAGGTGGCCTCTGACCTCAACAGCCCTACAATTCTGTTTTGACTGACCCTGAAACCCATGAAATTCAGATGTAGGCACTGCCCAAAAGTTGAGATAAAGCTGACTAATATGGGAAAAGCTCCCGGTATGTGCCCCCAGCTGAAAGGAGCTGGCAGTTCTTTGGCGGTAGACGCAATTTATTCTGTCCTCCTCCTTTCAGGGAAATGCTAATCCTTCATAGGCAACTCGAGGGGAAGACTAAAATGTGTTGATCATGAATGACAATAATCCTTTGTCCACCGCCACCTCCTCCTAGGGTTGAACCTTAAGAGTTTAATCAAATGTTGGTAAGTAAATTAATGCCTTACTGCAAAAGAGGTGGTGGGAAGAAA